GAACATCACAACTAGGTTTCAGGTGAGTTTCTTGAAAAAAAAACATATTAGTTTGCAAATGAGTGTATTTTCGCTGAATCGCATCATATTTTTCGTCACCATCGCTCAAATGAGTTCCTAATCCTGGAGTGCTAACAATGAGCCTTACTTCAACGTCAGATCACTTTTGTCTCTTCTAAGCGATCAGTCGCACTGACGATCTATGTCTGGACCAATATCCAGCCGCAACTCCTGCGGTGTTCGATATTCATACAGTTATCGCCATATTTCATCACTGTCCCATTTAACTGCCACTGAGCAGTGAGTAAGCCAATCTTTGTGTGCTCTTGATCTGGGGCGTTTACTGGGGTTGGAAGCGGACCATCTGCGATTTCCGTCACATTTGGTTGGAACACTGGGCCTGCTCTGTCTCGTCTGCACCACTGGTGCAAGATATAACCTGGATTAGTCTACACACGGAAGAACGTACTGCCAGGGGCTTGGTAATGTCATGCGGGTTGGTGGCAGGCGATAAAGCAGGGACCTGATCTTGGAATCGATGCCGATGGCGCCTGTAAAAACGAGCTGGATACCGCTGCCGGTCAGACGTGATAAGGTGGCCTCAGCCAACGCACTTCTCACACAGCTATTACACGTAGGCCTGCACTGGGTGGGAAATGTAAGCCGACGGGTAGAGATTCACGTTTGAGCACAAAGTGCCACTCCACCAACAGTGGATAAGCATCCTAGCTGGGTTCAAAACTTACTCCAACAGGTAGTCTTTACAGCTTCCCGGCCAGGGGTTTTTATTAAGTGAGAAGTTGAAAAAGCTGACGAAATCTTTGTCATAGCGTTATGGTTGTTGACTGGACTACTGGAACCTGGGGAGCAACAGTTGTCAGTAACGCATTCCCAGTGTTTTCCATTTCAGGAGTTTCACATAAGGTCCAGCACTCAAAGATTCATTCATTCGTCTGTCCGGGTAAAATTATAAGTTGTGATGTGAACGACATTGAAAGAATCAACATTTACCCGATTTCGGTGAATGCGTGACTATTCTAAACAGTACCGAGGGAATTTTTGTGCAACCATGATAACTTGCATGTCGAGATTTTGTGATCTGACGTAGTTACTTATACCGTGGGAAACTCGAACTAGAACTGGTAACGTGGTATACTAATTAAATCTCAAATGGAATCACCATAACTACAATTTAGGGTAGCGTGTTGGTGACTTTCCCACGCTGCTTGCACGTTTCACCGATCTGAGCCCTTTGACGAATTAGTCGAATCGAACCCGTCGATTAGGACCCATTGATGACATACGTTTGAATATAGTTGAAGTCGCAACAAACACCTACTGGCTAGGAATAAGGAAACTTTAAAGTTTTAAAACATCTTTCTCTACTCTGGAACCGTTTGCGTCATTAATCCATATCTGACAGCAATTTGTGAAATAATTTAGCTGAGATTAGTTCACTTAATTACAGACATTGTTTGCGTTTCCAAGACAAAAAAACGCCGATTATCAAACGGACCATAGAATGCGGTTTGCTATGTTGTCTCGGTTTCGACGTCAGTCTAGAACACAACTGACAACACCCGGAATTAAAGGTGATAAAACAGACACTTGTGCACTTTTTTCTGGATTAGTAACCAATGGAAGAGACGATAATGGGATGCATTGCAATGAACACTTAACTGCCGTTCCGTGTCGGACGAATTACATCAAAATTACGGGATTATTGATTGAGAACAATATTCCATTGGGTTGGGCGTTGACCACAATGAGAAGACTGAATGAGCCATTCAACGTTCGATAATGCAGCAACGCGCCAAGCAAACGTCAGTTACTCCCATATGGTTTTTACTAGAATCTACCCTCCGGTTCTTTTCGAAATTTTAGAGGTTCCATTTATCGAACTGGGTGGGGCTGGAAGGACGTTCTACTCCTATTTTTGGAGATTTTGTCGCACAAATGTTTGGCTGGGTGTTTCAAGCACATAGTATTGAGACTGCGTGGGCAACCTAAATGTACCATCATAGAGATTAGCTATCAGGTGGAAATCCAGTTGAATCATGTAAGGTACCCTCATTTTGATCTATTTATCATGATCGTTTTGTTAAAATTGCATCAATCCATACCAGCAACCTTAATCTGAGTATTACACGTTAACGCGATGTGAGATGTGTAACATGCATGCCGACAAACAAGACTGATGAAATTCGAACCGATACAAGGCACTGCTCAGTATATGTTCCTGTATAACGGCGTATACTACTGATGAAGCATATGAGTAGTGCGTTTTCTGGCGTCCAAGCTCTATCCCCGTATCGGACGCAAGGTGGTTGCTATGGTGATTGTAGTTTGATGGTAGTTTAATATTCAAAGAACGTCCAGGAAAGTTCACGAAGATGCTTCAGAATTTTCAATTTTCAAAAGATATGTGTATATGAGATGTTCGCTTTTATGTCTAGTGTCCTGTAACCGTTCATTCCATGTTCGCTAACCATTAGTTTCGCAGCAAAGAACGTCCATCCCTCAATATGATATCTTCAAAAGTGATTGATTGATTTTTTAAATTCGAGTCGATTGCTCTTTGTGGTGCAGGTGTTACTTTTTTAGGCAACACAGCTCTCTTGAGAAATAAATTCACGGAGCTTTGCACTAAAATGCCTCATAGGACGATTTTTTCTGTTTTTATATTGTGGTGGATCAAATTTTAATGTGCGAAAGTTCTCAGTGAGTCAGTCCTCTCCAAACAGAACGATGAACGCCTCTCGAGCTTCTAGTAATCTTTCAGCTGCTTGGTTTCGCCCATATCAGTCAACCAGCAAAGTCCAAGATAAGGGCAGGCCTAACCAGATTCGACCAATTAAAGACTCGTATGCTGCTGAAATGACGAAAGATGTCAGAAATGTTAAAAAGACAGAGTTTGTTGGCATTGGCTAGCATCGAACTTGCGACTTTTATTTCCCCCAAACTGCACCATTTTTCTCTTGATAGCTGATTTTAGTTCGAATATTAGTTAGACACCATTGTAACGGTGATGCTACCGATGGGAGGGCATGCGAGGAGTATGTTTTCTGTAAATCCGCTTTGCGTCTCTTGAAAAGTGAGATCTTTTACGGAATTTGTGGAGTCGCATTTGCTTAGATTTAACCAACAGTCAATGAGTATCCAGGAAAGTTCCGGAAGACGCGTTCAAGGAGAAGATGGGTATTCAGTTTTTGTAAACAAGATGCACGTGGGAGTTTCGCTCCCCTGTCCACTAGTTTGCAACTGTTCAGTTGGTATTTTATAGTAAATAACTCCGTAACAAAGGCCTTCTTTCTTTCACCATGATACTATGATCCATGGGACAATGTGGTATTAGTTCAAATTTTTGAGTGAGTGTTGCAAAGCCGAAAGTCGTGTCGCCCATTAGCCTTACCGGCAAATCACCGTGACCTGCTCAGGCCATGCGAAGAAAGCAGCTTATCTGGCAGGATGTGCGCAGTAGTTCTCTAGAATTCCTGTAAATCATCCTCATACCGATCGTGTTCTTATTCAGAAGGTCAGCTACCCTCTTGTTTGGGTCTATATCAACAAAATCATCCGCGCGATTTGTATTCTCATAACTACCGTCTACCCTGTTTCAAAAATAGCTAGTTTTAACTTCTCGTGTTTTGCCTTGTTGACGCAAAATATGGATAGTTACATCTCTTCTCAGAAACGTTTGAAACCATGACTTATCGATTGCATCAAACTGCTTTCAACTGTTTGAGAATCCAGTCTTGTTTTCATGGATGAGTTTGTACAAAATGATCATCTTTTGGATAGATATCATGAACGGAACTTTGATCACCAAACGGAATTGCACCATCACTCTCAGAACTCACCCCAGAATGGCTGCATTAAACATTTGGCAGCTTTGCACTTCAGCTGCAACAATAAATAGTTGATATTCTTTTAAATTCAAAAAGTGCCTTTGTGACTGTTTAGCTGTAAAACAAATTATGCGATTTGTTCAGTATAAACAAGATACAATCAATGTCGTATCAAGGTTTAGAGTACTCACTTTCAAGGTCATACCTCCTACATTCCTCACCTTGTTCTTGCCAAGTAATGAAATGTAAACATTGCTTGTTTATGTAATCTGGACCATATATCAAGGTGAAATGTAGGTGCCAGGCGGCGCCAATTAGATATGCAAATCAAAACATAGCTTTGTGAGATGCAAACCCATCATTGTTGGAAGTTGCGCAAGAGTTATTGTGGCTTCACAGCGCCACATGGATTACACACAGAATGTCCGGCTGACCAGCCAATAGGACATACGGAAAGGCGAACACGTCGTGACCCTAAGAAATGAAGAGGCTAAAAAGTCAGTCTCAACGTTTCTGAACTATCGGATTAGTTTAGTTTCACACATGATCTCCAAATGTGCTTAAAGCCATAGGAAGAACATCTGGGTGTCAAAGCTCCGAAAGCGTCAGATGCTCAACGTGTGTGAACCACAGTGGTGGAGCCAATCTTCCCTTCATTTGGATCGGTCTGTTTACAAAGTTAACCAGGCACAGTAACCAGAGGCATGGCTGAAACTAGGCACATAAAACCTCACACAAAACTCTCAATCACGCATCCACGCGTTTACAGTCCACCACCCAGAGCAGTCACACTCACCGACACACTCACTTTGACGCATTCACGCATGCCAGACACTAGAACTGGGACGAGGGTTAAATCAATCAGGACACGCGGTGGCAGACTTGTTTCACTGTTTCACTCACATATTTTCAGTTGTTAGTTGTAATTTTTGACAAAGGTTCTCTCAGTTTCTCTCCTTACCCCCAATTGTTGTTTTGGTTTACAAAACTTCCAAAGTGCGTGTTTCCCCCTTCGAAGATTTACTGCGGTGAGAATATACTCTTATGATCCGATTTCATGGTAGTGCTTTTTGACGAATCTTCCTCACTAATGTGCTATTCTGTGTTATTCTTCACATGACTTTTAAATACATTACTTTTTTTCTTCCAGATGTCACTCCGCGGTCCCTGAATTTCCGAGTGAAACATTATCCAAGCGATCCGCTTGCGGAATTTCGTCAGGAGAAAACCCGGTACATGAGACTTTTGTTTTCGGTCTTTTAAACACCCTCCCCACCTGTTTTTAGAGAAAGTCCAACAAAAATAGCCTATTTGATCGCAACGCAGTTCCATCGCTGACAATATCGGATCATGTGATGCGCTTTTTATCGATTTTTATAGTCGCTGCCACTGAGTTCTAGGGAAGTGAGCATAAATCATTTTAAACCGCATGGCATTGTGCTATTCGCTCCCGCGCCCAGCTAGACACGTGATACAATAAGGGAACTATAGCAACATTTTCTGAAATAATTTCCATGCATGCCCCCAGTTTTAAGAACACTGAGGGGGTGCAAGGTTTTCCAGAATTGAAAATAACCATGGTATTCCAACTTCCATGTCAGACCATGTTCTTGTTGCTTCCCAATTTATGCACTGATATACCGGAGGCCTTGTAGCATATCGCTATTGGTGATAGTGTGGGCCTTTTCAAAAGTTGGACACGGTAACTACAATATCAAAACGTCTGTGCATTGTTATTGCACCAAGATCAGCACAGAAAGTTGCACCGTCGTGTTCCATGTGACAACCAACCAAGGAAAGGAAGATTCAACAACGCGACTGCAGTTCATCACACTAAAACACCAAATCGGCTATTTGGGAAACTTGTAAGTTTCCGAAATTCTGGTAGTTGATAAGGTGCCCACTGATTCGCTTGCCGAGTTTGTCAATTTACTTGCAAACATTTTGGCTGCAGTCGAGGAGACTTCATTAGTGCTGAGTTAGTGATGTGAACCAGGGGCACGGGACGAAATTTTTGTTAGCTAATTGCCGAGCTCGGCGAACAGATCAGCAACCACCTAGTTGAAGCATTGTGAATGAGGTGTAATCATCCATTTGAGCCAGTATTCCGTCTTATGCGTCCTCGCCTAGTGACGAAACAACCGTCAAGCTCAGTGAACAGATCAACAGCAATCTGATAAGTCACAAATTAATGCACCCGAGCTAAAAGTATTCCAACAGTGTAGCGGCTTTGTGGTGGTGCGGTGATGTCTTGAGGAATCGAGACTAGTGTATCTTTGTTGTACAGAGTGATTTACAAGCCCATCACTGGATCTTATATGTCGCATGATGTCCAAGTGAATAATAGTCACATGAAAAACTGGGTTCGTTTTATCAAGAAATCACTCTGGTATATATACTATATACTGCTGTATATACTACTATATATATGCTATATACTACTACTATATACTACTATATACTATATACTACTATATATACTATTCTAAAGTAGCGAGTAGCATTATGAATGAAGCGAAGTAGATTGGTCTGCTCAAATCAGTTGAAGGAATCCGTTAGGAAAGTGGTCACTGTGTATGAGGTCGGCTGGATAGACTTCACGTGATGCAATCGCAGTAGCTCAACCCGTTTCGAGTGTATCATTGGTGCGACTCCTGGAAAATGCTAGGATGAATTTGGTGAGTCACCTGTAACAAATGCGTCGACTTCGTTTTATGCGATCGATGTGACTTGCTTGCCTTCAATGAAGGTTGTTTTTTTTAGCTGCCGTGACCTGCACGCTTGGATTTTCTTGCACTGGTATTGTCGATAAATTACAGCATCTCAGTAAGATTCCTTCATAGTTAACCTCTGATAAAGTCGAAAAACCCAGATTTTCTCCAACAGATATATTTCCTGCGTCACTAATTCAAACCAAATAGCATTTAGATCGATGAGATCATTTTGCCCAAGCGTTAGTGCACTGATAACAAGGTGTGAAGATGAACAAATTACCTACCCCGCGAAACCCCAAAACTGCAAACAAAAGGTTGCTCAGGAGTGCCGAAAGCACTCATGACTAGATTTGTACCCGCTCGATCCCCATATCCTAAATGGGGTGTTAAGAGGCAGGTTTTTGATTGCTTGGAGGAACGCGCGATTAACACTTTTTTGGGAAATGTGAACGTTCGGTTCGGCATCCCAGGTGGCTGTGCCTTCCGCAGACAACAGCGTGTCGTCGTGGAGCAGTGGTAACACGCTCGCCTCACATTCCGGGGTTCAAATCCCGTCACGGCCATTGGATATATACTGTTAATGAGCTCTAATAATTACGCCAGGGAGGGAGGACGACCATTCAAACTAGGGTGGTGTGACTATGAGTAAATTGTAATCATACCTCAAATCGGCCACATTTGTCTCCGGTCGTAAAAATCGATTAACCTTAGCATGGCTTTTTGATGTGCATCAACAACGACAGGATCAAAACACGACATATGGATGTGGTGTGGTGCCAAGATATAAATAAATAAATATAATAAAAAGATCGTTCAGCTGTAGCACCCTTTCGGCGCCTAGCTGCCATGCCACCCGAAGGTTGCACGAGGTCTGGGATACTGCCAGGTTGCCCAAGCCTAGACAGGGGAAGTCGAGAGGTAGAGGTCAGGTTCGAGCCACGAACTTTCCGGTTAGTAGATTCGCGTTCCAACCAATTGAGCCATCTCGCCCCCAGCCAAGGTATGATATGAGAAGCACTGCCCTTGACGTTCGCAATCTGGTGGAATCGAAACATACCTTGTTACTCGAGGCCTACTCTGGTCTTTTGAGTTTTATGCATTGGGTCTTCTGAGGCTCGTTTTTTGGGCTAGCAGTAACACGGTGAAAGTGTTCGACGCGTAGCTCATATCTGGGCGAAGGATCCACTATTGTATTGATACTAAGAGACACAATGTGTCTCGGTAAGTTTACTCGTTACGTAGATTGATAACCCACGGACAAGTGGTACTTAACTTCGCTGGGGGGCATGATATTCAGCTGAAAATGAGGGACTGTCAGTTGACAGCTTTGCAAAGTTGAACCGTACTCCCCAAATACGAATCAAATGTGCTGATTTGGAAAAATGAGACACTCTTAGATAGAAGGATTTCTGTAATGAATGTCGAAACGTGAAACCAAGAAACCACGCATGTCAGAAGCACAGACAATTTTGATGCGATTCTGCGAAAGAAGCTTTCTGATTAAAAATTGAAATGTGGCACATCAAAGGCTACTCAAAGTCTCAAGTCATTGGCCTAACATGGGATAAAGTGCCTCAGTATAATGCCCTCAAAAATCATTGAAGCCACCATTAGGTCATGAGTGACTCAGCGTTATGGCGTCGTCAGTTAACTGGACAAAACACAAAGATGACAGTGTCTGGACCCTGGTCATCGAAGGTGCTTCAGTGAGAAAACCTCTCTGTTTGAGTATTTCCAAAATCACTTGGTCCATTTTTCTATAACGGGTTGTTATCCACAGGGGAATTTAAATACCTTTTTTCTGATGGCTCAGAGTATAACTCAAGGTTCACGTCGTTTAAGCACTGACTTTAATATAGCTGTATAATCAGGTATTTTCAAGAGGTGGATACCTTAGAAACGTGAAACATTTTTCCCTCGAGCGAAACCATCTTACCAAGCTTTCATGTTCAGTGCGGAGCACAGTAAATTTTTTCCGAATTGTGAGGCCATTTTAGCATTTTACCGGAAATGATTGTAACGACTTTTCTCAAGGTCATCCAAATCTCGGGTTAACTTGAGCTTCCTATATCGCCCATTTATCCTATCTGAAACGACAGTATTAACGTGTGTAATCGCTTTTTTCTCACTCGAAACTGTTATGCGCAAACGGCTGGGGTGAGTACGCGCTGACGAACTCGTTTCCAGGGATGAATCATTTACACACCATCTAGACAATGTGCAGTAACTCTTCCGGTTATGGTCAAGGCTCAGATGACGCAACTACTAGAGGGGCACTGCTTTCTCATGAGTATAATATAATCCGGTTGAAAACTAATTAAACTCCTGCATCGAGGAACGTTTCACATCTAGAAACCAAAACCGAAAGGCATTCGTATCATTAGGATACTAAAATATTAATGAAGTACGTCAAAGTGCGCGTTGAAGACCTGTGCTCAGGTGTGTGTGTGTATAGATGCTTCAGGGTGAGAATCAAACACTATACAGGTCCGTTCATTGAGTTAAGCTAGAGAAGACGGCCCACGGATTCAACTGTCAAAGGTCACTCCGATAGCCGGAATGTATTTGAGGGTGCACCCAATTTCTGCACCTCGTAATTTGAGTAGATTTTAGCAGAAATCGTTAGACATTTATCAAAATCCTACGGATGTTTGAGCGTTTCCGGTGTAGCCATCACTGATTTATTTTTCATACGGAAATGCTGGGCGACCTCAATGGACGTATTCCAACCTGATAATAGCTACCAATTTAAGAGCTTGGCCTGCACACAAGGTGAATTAGTCATTTCCGTTTAACTACTTAAACTTTTTGAGTAGTGAGCGACGAAATAATAGTTCTTTGTGGCATGGCGTCGCTTGCCAAACCGCGTTATGTCTGCATTTCACGTGGAAAACAAACCTAAGTCCACAAAGATAGTACGATTCAATAATCTTTGGATGTCACTGGTGTGCCCCGGCAAACTGCCTAAAAACTAAACATGAGATCGATGGATTTACTTTGATCCAGATTGACATATGTGGAGAATTGTGAATTAGTACTAAAGATTATATCGGGCATAAGCAAACAATAAATCCGAAGGTGCTAGAATGCAAAAGTCTTGTTAGTTTAGTAGTGCGATTCAAGAGTTCTGGGCACTGGTTTGCCATGATGATCGATCAGACCGATAATTTGAGGTAACGCATCAGTAATATTAGCCATAGCTAAAATGAACACGTGACCTGTAGTAGGTTGGATGACATTGTAGACAGATAAACGGATCACTGTGCCTTAAAAACTATGTTTGGAAGGCTTGTAGTCTTTTCTCTCGCTAGGGCAGTCTCCCTTTGGATTGAATTGATCATCAGAACAGATGATAACTAAGGTTAAAACTGAAAGTGACTATATAGGCAAGAGATGCGCATTGCCTCTGAAGACACTCTATCTCCATGACTGTCTTATAGTGAGAAGGTGACTGATTTATTGGAAATTCAGCTGACGAAAATTGAGGAACGGAGCCTGATTCATGGGGAGTCATCAAACATTCTTAATATGCATTTATTAAGAGGTTTTTTTTAATACGTGGTCTAAACCAAAAATCTTCAACCTTACAATCACTGTCGCCCATAGTTGGTGCCATCCGATGGTAACTAGGCCATACTCATGACCTTGTGTCCAGAAATGTCACGTGGCTGACTAGTTTGAACGGCACTTTAGATGATTTCGAAGCTGTCTAAACGATCGGTTGAACGGAGGTTTTGCAAAAAATTCAGTCATTTTCAGGCAAAGGTTTTTCTGGTCTTCCATGATGGCCGATGGATGGGATAGTCTAAATGGAAATGGCTTTCAGAAATCAGAGGCTGGTAAAGATTGATTTAAACCGGTAGATGAACACATTAATTTGCTCATTGTGACTGGCGCTCTACGGAAGTTGGTCTAACTCTGTATATCATACTGATATATCATATTGATTGCTTCCGACCGATATGAAAAATTCTGCTGCTTTCCACTCCATCCAACCGTCTCATCACTTCATACGACCGCCTCAACCAACAGTAAATTCAGCATCCAGTACTGTAACACTATCCTTTTTATCCCACTTGTATCCCGCAGTTTTTCTAGGGATTAAAAATTTGCTACTATAGAAAGCAGTTGATTTTTTCATTCGTTTCAACTTGTAGCTATCTCCTTTACCTTCAATTGCGACGTGACCTTCACAGCGGCCGTTTGATTGGCCGAAATACGGAAATGCATATGCTTGCTGCATGCATACTTCAAGGTAACTGACAAAAAGCTTGATTGACATAATCGTATGGATCAACTAAATATCAAACGTTCCTTAAGTGTGTGGTAAAGTATTTGTTCAATGTTTTTTGGTTAGGCAAGCGCTAATGTGACCTCTCTTTCCTCTTGAAACAACAACCTCAGTAGAGTCGTCTGTCAAGATAGTTCGCGTGTTCGCAAACGTATTTAGCGCTGTTTTGAGCGAACATCGGTGAACCGAGGAAGCAGTGTTTGCTGAAGAACGATACAACATCTTAGCTGATGAGTTGCGTTTTATCTCGGGGATTCAACTAACGCGGGAGCGGGTAATACAGAAGCAAATAATACCCATCTGATATCTTCCGAGCTTGAGATGTCGAAGCGTACAAAACGGCCGACCATGACGTCTGTGGACCCCACACCCAAGCCTGGCTTTTCGATTGCTTTTAATATAGGGCTGGTCAAGCTGACGACACCCGGGCCCTTTTTATTTTATTTATGTTTCTCCGAAATTGCTTAATTACGAATTTGTTCCTGTCTTGCGGAATGTCGTTGGTTCTCACAAGGGGATCCGTAACTCTGAAGTAAAAAAGTAAACAACCGTTTATCTGTGGTGTCGGTTTAGCGCACTTTTACCATGCAGCATGAAGGACGCTCAATATCTGCAATGCTGCCCAGACCCATGTGAGAGCCACCAAAAATAAGCATTGGGTTCGAACCCCAAACCTTCCGGCATTGAGTTTTGCGACGTAACAACCAGCTGTCCAGAGCTATCCGAAATAAAAAAAACCCGTAATCAGAACCCATATCTTCAGACATGAGCCTTTCACCAAAATCTTCTTTCGTTACTGTTGTAACTGTCTGCCTTACAGAATGTAGTGCACCAAATCCGTATGGCTGGATCGCTTATTAGCTGAAGTTCTTTTGAGGGTTGGTTGCGTGATCTTTCCAGCGAGCACTGCATCTCACGCTGGTAACTGTGTTCAATCGGTCTCCCTTTACATTCTCAAGGCTTATCATGGTTGATGTGCATTAGAGGAAAGGAAGCAAGCTGAAAACTGATGAGTATGATGCGGTTAACTTGTTTCAGTAATATGATTTGGGCTGATGCTTGCAAAACGTTAAAACGTTTTGTAAAAAAACCCGGGTAGACATGCATTCAACAACCATGTGTCGCTGTTGTGATGGTGTTGAGATTACGAGAGCAGTAGTAACTTCAAGACTGATCCTGAGATAGTTAGTAGGAACAAAAAGTGCTACTCTTGTCACACAATCATACTAGCTAAGCTGTGTTTGAAACCTTTTACGCGTGCGTTATTTGGAACTGTTGTGTCTTGCTGTACATTCGTGCAACTCTGTATCGGTCCCTTCGCATTCTGCTCCGTCCACTATGGTATATCAAAAGGTACGGTAGCTCTAGACAGCCCTTTATGGAGATAAAGGAAAAGTATTACAACCGTATTTTAGGGCAATAACAGAATGTTCCACAAGATCATGCTAGAATCTCCGTAAGGGGCGAGAAGTGTCGACGCCAAGACGCTCGATCCGGATTGGCTCCCAGTTTGACCAATCAGAGCATGCCTTTGTTTGGTCCGTGTCCTGCACATCCGTCCAAATGATATGATGTTCGGTTATTGGGAACGCCTGGCTTACGGACGCAACCCACACACGCAAACCACCACACTAACCACCATGTTCTCAATGTTGTGATCTTCTCCTAATCGCAGGATAGTTCTCCGACGAGAATTCGAAATGCATTATCCATATCTCTGTTATCATCAATTAGATATTCGAAAGCTCATATACCCTGATGGGACCTCAGACATATCTGCCTGCAAACGCCGCTTTGTTTGCAATAGTTTTAGCTGAGTTCCTGCGCGACGCTGCTGGTCAAGTGTTCCCTTAGACAAGTTCTGGAAACATCTTAAGGCTGTTCGGTTATTGGGAACGGCTGGCCTCCGGACGCAAACCACACGACGACCAATCTAAGATGAATAATTACCTGCACTAACCACCATGCTCTCACTCTTGTGATCTTCTCCTAATCGCAGGATGCTTCTCCGACGAGAATTCCAAATGATCTCTGTTATCATCAATTAGATATTCGAAAGCTCATATACCCTGATGGGACCTCAGACATATCTGCCTGCAAACGCCGCTTTGTTTGCAATAGTTTTAGCTGAGTTCCTGCGCGACGCTGCTGGTCAAGTGTTCCCTTAGACAAGTTCTGGAAACATCTTAAGGCCAGTTGGCTGTTACTCAGAGCGGTGTTCCTCATTCTGAAACCATCTTCCAAGATAATACTTGTGAAGGAAACAATTTGTTTCTATTTACACGCCTATCCTCTCCGAATGCTTGATGCCGATGTGAACTCCAAATTTTTCGTCTCTGTTTTGTTTATTTTAGCCGAAATAGGAGACTACGATGTCCTGGTTGATTATTTGGGAAGCGAAGGCACACTGGCCGACCTGAAGATGTTCGCAAACGTTACCCCGAGAACCGAAGCCAAGATTTGTGAACTACACAAAACACTAAAGTAGGCTTTTTTCACCTTCGCTATTTTGTTCAACATTGCGCCTTGTCAGGTATATTCCTACCCTTCAGGCTAGCCGGAATTCTTACGGTCATAGAAAGGCTAAAACCCACCTTGATCTGCAACCTCAGTGTGACGTTGGATAGCGCCCAGATAATACTTACAACTTTACCTGTATGTATAGGTCGGAAAACCCTATTGGCAACCGGTGCACTATAGTGTATCGGTTGAACCATCCTGACACTAATGAGCCCGGTACCCAAACTCCACAATTAGATGTTTAGTTCAAACGTTTTATGTGAGAATTCTCATGTAGATCCTCTCTCCGCGGCCATCGATGAGTCTTCAGTGCATAGCTCCCTTCCCAATCCCCCATTTGACAGTCCACTGGCAGTTCTGTATTTACACACGAATTTATCTACTCCCGCCTCCAATGCGCAGCTATCTACCCCACTTCCCCAAATCATGAGTGAACGAAACTGTGGCAGCTACAACCACTGTACGACAAGTACGCGGTTCTTACAGCTGAGAATGATGGTGATGATGATGATGACGTAATCATAAAAGTAAAGTTCTTTTCATTTCTACAACCTCAATGTAAGCATAGGTAACTTTCAGTCAAATTTTACGCGGAAATTTGCAACCCCCCGTGAAAAATATTAGAAAAGATGACAAGGAATGTTTGATATAGCAAGGTGGTTGCTGTACTGTCGGAGTTGTGTTGGACACTGTGCCATGATCTGCACGTTTCAATCAACAAACACCACACTTGGTTGGACACGTTGATGATGATGTGTTGAGGATCTATGGTTTTCAGTAGAGTGCCGGTTCACTGCATACAGGGCTGTTGATTAAAACGAAGAAAATCCAATGGTAGATACATATATGTGAAAGGAAAGAGGGTTTTGCTGTGGAGTTGTCTACTAGAAAACACTAACTGAACAGTTACAGACTATTGGACAGGTGAGCGAAACTCTCATTTGCATCTTGTTTACAAAAACTGAACATCCATCTTCTCCTTGAACGCGTCTTCCTTGACTTTCCTTCATATTACTTGACTGTTACTCAAATGCTAGAAAGCGACTTCACAAATCCCGTTATAGATCTCACTTTTCAAGAGACGCGAAGCAGATTTATGAGCAAACATACTACTCGCATTCCCCATCAGTAGCACCCACCATCAAACCAAGTGGCAACCAGTAATGTAATTCATACGAGAACTCCACCGCACAAACTGTACTGAAACCATTGCCATCAAAGCCGTCGCCTTTCACAAATTGCGCGGTTTGTTAAATCAGCTGCCATTTTATTCAACGTGAAAATTTTTTCGCACAAAAATCAATTTTCCTGCACGCAAAACAGATGCATGAAACTTCCGTTTATCCCGTTTACATCTACAAGGATTCTGAGTTCTTACCGATGCTCAGAGACCCGCGATTTCTCCAACGTCATCTTGTAAAGCACAATCAGGCTAAGTTTCTTCTTTTCTCCGCGTGTGGATGAAAACGACATACAGTAAATTACCATGAAAAATGTCCCATCATTTGATTTGATTTATAAGTTTCCAAACAGCTTCGACTCACATGGGTGTCTGCAAGTTCACGTGACATCGCTAAGACCGTCAATCATACGGGTAGACAACGTACGTAACATGCTAATAAAAGCTCTAAATCAAATATCCAAGACTTTTAATCAACCAATATATAACGTTTTGATGAAGACAGCCATCGTTGGATTCGCCATGAACGTTACAGTGGATTCGGAAGGAGGGCTACGCTCTAAAGACAAGGTTCCCTTGGAGGAAAGTTCGATCTTTAAGACCCAGGCGAATCATCTTCTTTCTCGGACTACAATGCACTCTTTGCAATCTAGCATGATCAACCCATCCCTGAAAGGTAACTGAAAAGTCCTCTCTGGTGAATCCCTGGGTTCAAAGTGACCATATGACCCTTAAAAATAATGTCTTAAGTGTTTTCTTCAGCTGGCGTGTTCACAGGAGACCTGTTGCAGTTCAGTCTTTCCCTATATTTGAACTTCCGTAAAAGAATGAGCTAGGCGCCATGTTGCTTTTGAGAATGCATTGGGGGTTATACTATGGACATGCATCAGACACAGCCACAAAACACTTGTTCTTTTTATGTTACAAAGAAGACAAAGGAAAATTATTATAACCGTATTTATATGGGAATGACAGAATGTTTCGCAAGGTCTTACTAAAATGTCCGTGAGCGGGCGAGCAGCGCCGAGTCAGAGGGGGTCGATCCGGATTGGCTCCCATTTTGACTAATCAACTTCGTTTGTTGCGTATCCTGCACGTGACACATCCGTCCAAATCATGTGATGTTTGGTTAGTGGGGACGGCTAGCCTCTAAAAACTTCCCGAAAAGCGAGCGCATTAACTCCAATTGAAGAAGTAACCTTGCTCTCAAAAGTGGGTCTCTTACGCTTCGCAAAGTCATATTGAAAAGGATTGGGCTAGCACTCAGTTAGACAAACTCAATAAAAACTGACGGCACGAATCCCACTGATATCAGTTAGCCGATTTACCGCTCAGTGACCTTCGCCAGGGGAAGGCCATCTGGGCCCATTCTCACAGGTGAACAGCACCAACGGCATCCAATCGCTCGTAACATCCTTCGTTCCCGTCGGTCATTCCAACTGCCCGCCCACCTCCACGTTTTCGGCACTCCGAACAGCAGTTTTACCGGCCGGCTGTAACTCGGCATGTGTAACACATGGCCCAGCCACCTTAGCTTGCCATTCCGCATAGATGTTTGATTTATTTTCCTCCTGCTCCACGAAGAACCCATTTCCTGGTTATTTCATCCAGTTGATTCCAGCTATTCATCTGAGATGATGGTGGTTAAAGACCCGAAGGTCGTTACTCTAATTTTTCAAATTATTCTGCGCTTTCTGCCAACGTTTGGTCTGGCAAGACTGGTTTATACGGAAGGCTGCTGAGCAAAGGAATAGCGGGTGTCCGGCAAGAACGTGACGCACAGGAAAGTCAAAGAATATCACAACTGTCGACTGAACGTGTAATTCGATCCCACCAACAACGGACCTGTACACAAAAATGACTCTAAAGTACATGTTATCGTGTATCAGTCGGGTTCAATCGTCGATGAACTGAAGTCTTGTCCCAGTCGGTGTTCGGTCTGTAGGCGTGTGTTGAATGCCTGGCGCTCACTAACCAAAGCGAGAGTCGGTCCGTGTACGGTGGAGTTATTTTAAACCCTGAAAGATCAGTCCGCATTGGTGGATGCACGAGAAGCCTAATCCGATCAGAAAACCAAATTCTAATATCGATCTAAACAAATGATGGATGCTCACTTATGCTTTCGTTCCACCACCACCCATTATTGTGCTGTTTCCAGAGTAGCTTCTCTACAGCGTTTGATAAACACTTTAATCGAAGACAGCTATACCCTCATACATTCTAAGCTTTGGGTGTCTTACCTGCTCAAAACTTGTCTCCGGAAGCTAGGTTTAGTGCTAAACTTTACTTCCGGTAACAATATATTTAAAATGTTACTAGTTCCGTTTCTAACCTCATGTACTGTTTCACAGAAACCACAAAGCCTGGAAAACGAAGACTGATTGACTGACAGGTTTATTACATCACTATGTATGATCCCAACTTTTTATGCCCCATTTTCAGAGGTCTATCGATGGAAGAGGCTGAGAATAAATTTCTGGAGCATGCATCGCGCTTTGAAACTTATGGAATCGAACCCCTCTATGTCCAGGTGAGAAAACATTTAAGGTTTCACCCCGTTGTTTTCAACTTTCATGTTGTTTGTCGTCATGGCGACCGACGCCAGGTCGTGGATACGACAGTTTAAGCATCTTGACTGTTCATAATGCGCACTACTCATAAGTTTGCTGAAAATTCTTCGACAGCCCACGATCGGTTTCGACCTTCTTGGGGTTCATCAGGTCAGCACAGTCCCCAAATTTCCGTCAAACTTACGTTCTGCTTGAAACCAAATTATACGAAATTAGTGAAATACACTCACTTGCAAATTAATTTGGTTTTGTGGGAGACTCACCTGGAACCCCCCAGCTGACTGCGCCTACCTGATGAGCCCAAAGAATGTATTGCGCTATCTCGAATATCGTAGCGACTGCAACATGAGGTGGCCTGGGACAGCACATTCAGTTGCCTGGAAAAATCACAAACGACAGATTCAGCTCGACTGCAGATGATGCTCTCGCAAAACCAAATTTGTTTTCAAATGATTGTATTCGCCACCATCGTAACTGTTGTTAAATTCATCTTGCCGACAAGGAGCAATCGTTACGATGGCCTTGTTCACAATGAGCCGGAGTGGTGACCGATAAATGAGTGAACTGCCTTGTGGCAGTGTGTTATACTAGAATGGCACGTTTGATGAATGATAGAAGTCTGTCACCTGACTGTGTATCTGACTTGTACCAAAAGAAAATCTGATGGTATATGCCATCCAATTTTTCCCTGGTTCTCACTACCTACTGGCTTTCTGACGCAATTCCAATAGCTATGGCCTCTGTTTTTCAAAATATCTTCACTTTCTCCAACGTCCGTAAACAGAGGCGGCGATTCATAGCAAATGGGGATACATCGCTGATTCGCTGAATGGAGGTTAAACAGTTAGTTTTACGATGTGTTCCAGCCCCAAACGTTCCACCATTGTAACCTACTTCTCATGAGACCTGCTTCAGTTGAGAAGAGATCAGTAGCCAACCAATCGTGAACGTACTGCAGCGAATTTTTTTGGCTTTCTCATCATTATGCAGCTGTCATTTAAGCCATCTTCCTCACCATGTCCAATAACGCTATGTACTCTTCCCGACGAAGGTGCTTTGTGTTGAACGTGCTGACTAACTAAAACATAGCCTTAGTTCGTGTTGATCAAAGAAAACAGCTTGGCGACTGTCTATGGTACCGATCAAAAAAGGAAGCCCCAGTATCTAGATGTCTTAGGGAGGTTGTAACTTGGCGGTGGGTGAAACACTTGGAATATTACTTTAAAGTCCTCTGCTTGCATTACCGGACGCTAACTGGAGGCAAAACGCTTCAAAGAGTCGGATTCTGGAGCTGACTCGGCAGTAACCTATGTGTTTATTTAAGCAGATAAATGGATCGCGACCACAGAGCCAGTAGCTTGGGGGAAAGCTACTTGGACACAGCCGATTGGTTTCCGGATGCCAGAAATAAAGAACAAGTTCATTTATTGTCTCGGGTATGAATAACAGACTAAAAACTCAGTACCATTGCTACCGCAATTAGTAACTGGCAATCGCCATTTTGTAAAAGGTCACCGAACTGCCTTGTCGAGAAGTCATGACTAACTTATTTTCGAACTTGCTTAGACCGAAACAATCCATCAATAAAGCCCGTCACCTCATCCAAAATAGCGATATAAATCCTTAACCATCTTGGATTTACCCACAGGAGGTTCCGATCTGCTGACCAATTGATCTGTAACGACGTGACCAGCTCCTCCCTTTTTGCAGAGGACATTCACTAGTTCCCTTCACATTTGCTAGATTTGTGTCATTTACTTGGTTTTCCGAAAGTGCTACCTGGTGTAGAATGCATCTGCTTCAATTTATTGACCGTGCTTTGATGCGTCTTATATCTCCGTGTTCATTTCATTAGCAAACTTTGTGTGGCTGCCTACCCGTAAGATCATTCCATCTGAGCAGTTGTCACTTGAGGAGCCAATCAACACGCGAGCACGTGATGTGGATTCTGCGACTGAAGGTTGGATGACCCTACATCCTTTCTAAGTGCGAATTAATCGCACTGTTAACAAGTCAGTCGCGGCCGAACGGTTAAGTATTCAAACTACCAACCGGAAGCATGCAGGCAAGAGACGCCATGGGGAGATGTGCACTGCTGATAATTCCCAATAAGGACAAAACAGCTATACAATGCTTCTCGGCCTTTCCTCATACACCAGCTTCATTTACCACATGAAATTTCAGTGGAACATTTCAAGGTTTCATTTGGTTATGAGTCAGTGCGCGATCGACACTGTGACTTTTATTAAATGATTAAATGAATAATGATTATTGAATGATTAAGTTGGATTCAAAGCTTTACTGCGCTCACCAACACTCAGGCATCAGCCATTGAATTGGAAGCCAAACTATCAAACACCTACCTAGTTTCGCGTGGATGATAAAACAATGGGTGTACTTTCCGAAACTATGATCGAACGAACAAAACATGGCCAGAAGTGCGTAAAAGCTCCACTGTCTTGCTATTTGCAACTTAGGTTCCCTTCTATTGAAGTCAGTCAGAATTGAAGCATCTGTTTTTTTGTCATTGCTCCTCATACAAGGACCGGAAGGGGAATCACTTCTACATGGGCCTCAGTCATGAAGGGGTCGTCACATTTCGAGGGAGCCGAAAGGCCCATGTTTTTACTTGGTAAGTCATTGCTCCTTAATCGCCAACACGGATTTACTCCAAGTTTTTTACTAAGCATCTTCTTGTACAAATTCCGGGAAAACGAACATATTGAGTTTTTTAGGGAAGCACATTAGCAGATTTATCCGTATGTCTAACTGGCGAGAGCCAAACTGCATATTCCTTCTCCTGCTAGAGAATGTTTGACGTTGCGTAGTGAAATCCTCAAGAATTACGATAATCACAAGTCGGAAAACGCTAGTAAACTAAAAGCAGATGAAGACGATATTCTTGGACGTTTTTATGAATGATCCGAGTGCACGGAAGCATCTTACGGTGAGTTTCGATTTCCAAGGTCATGTCGGTATGGTTATCGATCGCGCTCCAATTGCACCAGCAAGACATCCACATTAGGTTGGATGAGCGACAGATCGTTTGAGTGAATCAGGGAAGGGCATGCGCGTTATCACTGGTGGAGGGTACTAAGGCGAGAAAATAGATTAATTCAACTTTATAGATACAGTGACAGGAAAGTCGCTTCAAGATCGTGAGATACAGTTGCGTGGCCAGAATGTATGGATCACCGACCGGTTCTCCTCATGTGAAACAGCCCACGAGGGTGAGGTTCGAGTGTTTTCTTCCCAAGCTTACCAGTAGGGAAACAATGGGATCAACACATGGCTGTACAGTCACACCGGCCGAACCTCGTTTGGTCAACACGGCTGAGTGGTACTTAGGCGTCAGTCATCGAAGAGGAATGGCTGTTCGAGGCAGACACAAACGATGATGCATATGCTCTCTAAGTCCAGGGGTGCTGCGCAGACGTCGGGAACGTACCGCTTAACTGCTAGATCGACATGTTGCTGTACGCTCGCGTGCGCGTACCGCAGGTCGACGTTGTTGAATAGTGCAACCCATCCCAATCGTGCGACACAAACTACAGATAGTGTCCTCAGCCCATCAGCCAGTCGGCTGAACCCCTAATGAGTTGATTTTCCTTTCATCCTGCTGTGCAGTAAGCACCATTCTTCGGGCCTCTACCGTATCTACAACAGACATAGCTGCATTGGATAGGTTGTGTTCTGCACATGTTTTAGTTCACATATAAAGCAGAAGCCGGCCGTCGTTCGAGTGCATTCTGCCGTACAAAAAATGATTCAGTCACATTGACGCTTTTTGTCATTGCAGGCAAAAAATCAATAAAATCAGCTATGAGGGGAAACTATTCATAATCCAAGTGGAATGGGAACAGGTGAGTTCAAGTTTTACCCTATCCTCACGTATCCGATAGCTTTTTTAACACAGGTGTCAAAGAGGTTAAAAGTTTCTTATTAAAAGTTGTAGCATTCGCTTGAATCGTAAGCTCAATTCGATTCAAAATGAACTGAAGCCTAATAAAGCTGTAGAAGTATTTGGTACAGCCATTTGGATCATAGGTTCAAATTTTTTAAACACACGCTTGGCCGCCCTTACCAGCCCGGCGAAAGTCACCTAACCCCCAAGTTAAACCTTGTCCAGGCGTGCAGGAGTGGAAAGAAAATAGGAAAGCGTAGGAGAGGGAGGGAACCTCTCTTATACCGGGGTGCTCACACCTCTAAGCACCAAATCAGACAAGCTAGACAGAAACCGACTGAGCAAACGCCGCTGACGTTAATCCACCGCCATTTCTTGCAGTGCCTCCAGCCAAGCTTGTCACAGGGACCTGGTCATTCATTCACTAATCCAACAGTGGTAAAGGAAAACTGCAAAGCAGAGTGATTCCACAATTCCCTTGTTAAACTCCACCTTACAACAGACGCGTGGCGGAGTTTGGAAACTCGCATGCTTCATCAGTAGTATCCATCTTTACGCTAATATAGACTGCAGGGTTGGCTTTCATTGTTCATGCCAGTTCACCAATACGCTAAGATGCATGTGCGCACACTCAGCCAGGTGTACTAAGTAAGATACCGTCAACTTTGGACATCGTAAGCTAAGCCTAAGCTGTGTTTCACATTCAGGCTTACGGCCAATCGTTTGCCAAAGTAAACATTCTGCAACATACAGGAAACCAATACAAGATTGTTGAAAACTCTCTGACAGCCCATGACCAGTTTTGCCCCTCTTGAGGATCATCAGATAAAAAGCAGTGCCATCAACCGTATGTTCCACTTAGACGCAATTCGTGAAGTGTACTCAATTGCCAACCAATTTGGTTTTAACCGGGGAGATTCAGTGGAACCCCTAGCTGACAAACACTTGGGGACTGCACCTACATGATGATCCTCAAGAATGGCGGAGCCAAGTTTGGAGTTTTCAGCAAACTTGTGAGTAGTATTCTCTCAGCATTGAGAAATGAGATGAGCTTTATGCAGTACATTCAGTTGTAGAACATAATTATGGAGTATTTAGGGTGGAATTCAGCTGAGCTTCTCAGTAGAACCGAATTAATTTGCAAGTGCG